AACTTGAAATCACTTTGCACAGAGAATCATTCATCTCATCATTAATATGTTGAAATTATAACTTTAAACCACCATATTTTATAGTAGTCAAGATTTCAAATGAAAAATCTGCTATCATAGTAAATATCGGTATTATTATTACCTACTTATAACCAAATATACCTCATTAAATATTAAGAGGTTTCAAATTATGTCATTTTTATCACACCCTTTTAAAAGACCAATTCATATGCACCATTTCTACCTCACAAAGGTCTCTCAAATTTTAGAATCTAAGTGACTTTTAGAAATACAATACAATTCAGAAACATAGTAAGAACACAAACAATAAACATTAGATGACATCAGTTACATTTCCAGATTATCACATATACAAATTATTGACCTTATTACTCTTGGTATTTAAAAACCACTTCAAAGTTATCAGGTGCGCAACAATTACACTAAATTAGAGAGATAATAATGTCGTCGAACATATGCCAGTTATTGTTTAAGCACTTTCCAATCATTATGTCATTTTGATCCCATAACAACAACCATTACTATTTTCCCTTTACAATTGAGGAAACAGGGCATACAGAGATAAAATAACTTGCCATAAATTCCCACACGGGAGCAGAGAAGTATGGGGCTTGTCAGGAGCAGAAGTTGGCTTCTCATCTCATAATGCTATTGCCAGGGGGTCAGCTGGCTGATGCCAGGGCCTTCCCAGTGGTGATAATCCTTGGTGGCAGGGCTTAAGGGATCACATTGGAATTCTGACTGTCCACTTCTCCTCTCCCCACAGCTGCAGAATTTACTGGGCCTGGGACCGTGTGCAGCTGCTGGGGCAGGGTGTGCAGAATGTATTGAACCTCGATGATACTCCCAGGCCTTGGCTAGAGAGGTGGGCTACAAGGTAGCCAGGGCAATTGGGGTCACTGCTAGTCTATGATAGCTGCTCCCCTCCTCCTTTTGCCAGATGGGAAAGGCTGATCTAAGTTTTCCCTACTATTCTCCAGCATTCTCTTTTCTTGTACAATCCCCTTATGGAGATAGTTATCTCTGGGGAGGGAGTGGGGAATGCTGAGAAGTCAGGATTGGGAGGAGGTGTTTAGCAGAGGGTGAGCTCCTGGAATTGTCCCCAGTCTCAGGAGTTTTGTCCAACATTCCCAAAATGATCAGTTTCCCAACTTCTTAATGATAATCTCAAAACCTCCAGAATCTGCTGTATCTAACTGTTCACTCCAGGTCTAGGCTGGCCAGACCTGGACCCACAAAGAAAGGAGTTCTACAGGTTTATTGTTTCCTTAGCTGCAGCCCTTAGAAGTCTCTGGCTGCCTGCGTTTTATATCTTATAAGGTACAGATACACAGACACACACTGACAGACAAATACAATACAAACGTAGTGTGACGTAGTGCACACTTAAAGACAGAGAGAGAAGGAATTAGAGGCTTGTTAGAAAACTCCCAACATGAGTTGGCTGTTCTTATTCTGAGGAAAAGGAGTTGGGGAATTTGCAAGGATCGAAGACGTGATAGTGTAACTGGATCCTGTGAGCCTTCCTCAGAGTGTCCCTGAGATTGCAGATTCAAAGGGACAAGTCCCAATGAAGGTAAGGTCAGAGAAGGGAGTCCCCATCAGGACCACAGCCTCTAAGGCAAAAGGGGAGGGGGAAGGGGATCATTCAGAGCCTGGGAAAAAGTGTTGAATCAGCTTTTTGAGCCTGAAGGGAAGAGGCTTCTGCCTTTCCTTCTCCCTCAGCCACCTCAACAACCCAATGACGAAAACATTCCCACTCCTGGCTAGATGTTTTGTTGCTCTTTACACTTAATTTGGTTTTAAGATAAAGTAACTTTGACCTGTCAAAAGGACCCCTGTTGCGGCCAACAAAATTTGGGGCTATCTTTAGTTAACTGTACCAGAGCTGGCAGGACTGGTGATCACCAGATTGGCAATGGCTTGACATAGAAGAGGCGGCAGTATTGTCAGCTGGATCTCTGGTTTTAGTTTCCGACTGACCCATAGCCAGTTTGCCTGGATTGATCCTTACCAGAGGGGATCTGATACAGTAGCCCAGGTTTCTCAACCTCGACTTGATCCCCAGCCTAGCTAGCTTCAAGGGAATCTTCTTTTGGACTTCAACCAAACTAGTGGGAGGTCCATGGAAGCTGGGAGTAGGGGAAACTTACCCGACGCCATCAAGGTTAGGAGTCCAGGGAAAAAAATGGACCCTGAGGCGCCTGAGTCACTAAGCATTGCCAGGATGGGCTGGTGTCTGCTCCCATTCCTTCAGTGCCATCTGACGTCACAGTCCCATTAATGTCGACCTGAAAGTGTGTTAAAGAGACACGAGCTAGATGAGAAATAAATCCATATTGTTTCATTCCGTTAAGTTAAGGACAGGTGACATGGAGCCAGAGCTTTAACTCTGACTAAATCAAGCAATTTTAGGAGGACATTTAAACCCTGACTCAGGATGTCTGTGTTAATTGATAGGTAAATGTCAGATCCAAGATAATGCTCTTGATCAGCTTTAGCTGTTGATACAGGAGGGGGCACTTTTAGTTCACTCAGAAAAGATTAATTCAGGTTTTTGGCCCTTACTGGGGCTGAATTGGTCTTAAATGATTATCACTTCCTTATGACCTCTGCCCATCAGACCTTTTCCTGAATGCTCCTGGCTGACCTCTCTGCTCAGAAGATCAGACCATGGATGAAAGGCCACTGAGGATGGGGAAGATGAATGCTTGTGTCCTGGGAGGAGGGAAAAGTAGGAGGAGGCAGGCAGAGAGAGCCGCAGGGTAAGAGGAACTCATTGTCTTTCACCCCAAACTTTTCACTCTTCCAAATGTCCCTGTTCTTGTTAAGGGTCCCAGGCCCCCAGGTTCACACCTCTGCTGTCATCCTCAGCTCCTCCCTCTAACTCACCCACTAAAGCCAATCAGCTGCCAGGGCCTGTCATTTCTACCTTGGAAATCCCCTTCTCTCCTCTGTCACTGCACCCACCCTGATCCATGCCCTGATCACCTCACACCTGCATTATTGTGATAGCCTCAGATGAAGAGACCTCTGGTCTCTGCCCCCTCCAGTCCACCCTCCATTCAGCCACCAAAGGCATTTTCCTTAGGCATGGATCAGAGCACGTCACCCACTAATCGGTAATCTGCAATGGCTCTCTGAGGCTTCCAACAGCAAAGACAACATCCTCTGCTTGGCTTTTCAAGTCCCCCCTCACAACCTGACCCCTGCCTCCCTTTCCAGACTGCTTACCCCTTACTCTCCTCCACATACTGCAATCCAGTGGCTGGGCTCCTGGCTGTTCCTCACACAAAATGCCCCATGGCTGGCATTTTCACTGTCTGTCGCCTACATGTGCAAGGCTCTACCTCCTCACTTCTGCCTCTGGGCTCCTTTGCTTACTATGAGACTCAGCTAACATTCTACATTCTGAGAGAAGCCTTTCCTGGTCCCTCAGCTGTCTATCCCTTTCCTGGGAGATCACTTTCCATTTACCTTGTTTGGATCTTGCTTGTGTCTGGGGATGTCTGCATGCAGTCTCCTCCACTAGAGAGGAAACTGCTCCCCACCCTCTTGGAGACAGCTAGTGGTAGTGTGGATAGCACTGAGCCTGGAGTCAGGAAGACCTCAGTTCAAATCCAGCCTCACACACTTACTGGTCCTGTGACCCTCAGTCTCCTCAAGTATAAAACTGGGATAATAATGGCACCCACTTCCAGGGGTTGTTGTGAAGATGGAAAGGGACAATCTTTGTAAAAAGTATTTAGTACCGACATGTACAAAAATATTTATAGCAGCTCTTGCTGTAGTGGCAAAGAATTAGAAACTGAGGGGAGGCCCATCAATTGGGGAATGGCTAAACAAGTTGTGGTACATGAATGTAATGGAATACTATTGTGGTATAAGAATTGATGAGCAGGCAGACTTCAGAAAAACCAGGAAAGACTTTTTGGGCTGATGCTGAGTGAGGTGAGCAGAACCAGGACAACACTGTGTACAGTAACAGCCACATTGTACAATGACTAAGTTTGATAGACTTAGCCCTTCTCAGCAATACAAGGATCTAAGATATTTCCAAAAGTCTCATGATGGAAAATGCTATCCACACCCAGAGAAAGAACAATAGAGTTTGAATGCAGATCAAAACATACCATTTACTCTTTTGTTTTTCTTCTGTTTTGTTTTCTTTCTTCTTTCTTGTGGTTCTTCCTACTGGTTCAAATTTTTCCTTACAGCATGGCTAACGTGAAAATATGTTTGATAGGAATGTATATGTATAGCCTATATCAGATTGCACACCATCTGGGGAAGGGAGGTACAGATGGAGGGGGAGGAAATTTAAAACTCAAAAGCTCCTGGAAGTGATTGTTGAAAACTAAAAATAAATTCATTTTTTAAAAAAGTACTTGGTACAATCATTCACTCCCTTCCCATCTTTGTTTGTATGCTAAGCTCAGTGCTTGGCACCCAATGGGTAATTGATAAAATTCTCTGCCTCCAAATCACTGGTCTTTTAACTATCACTAGGGAAGAGGAGAGGATTGGGGGAAAGGAAGAGAAAGCATGGGGACAGAGGGAGGGCTAGGCAGGAGAAGGTTGTGTTAAAGACAGGGGGGGTTAAAGTCATTGTAAGGTTGTGAAATTTCCCAGCCTGGCTGTCTTCATAGGTGATTGACACATTCTGAGCTGAGGCAAGTCTGGAGCAGAGATGTCCTCACCTGATGAGGAAATTAAGGATCAGAGACCCTCAGAGACTCTCCTGGGGTGGGGTGGGGGTCTAGGAAATGAGGTTCCCTGAGTCCCTGGGCTGTGTCTGGGTCCCTGGGTCTCTGAGGAGTGTGGGGATTAGGGAATGAAATTTCCCTAAGGATCTAGAAGCCAGGCTGCTAAGGTGCTGTACCTGGCATGACTTGCCTTTGACCCAATGGTTGAGTAATAATGGGTTTTCTTTCCCCAACCTGAGGCTGATGTTCGCTCAGTCAGAGGGATATAAGAAGGGAAGTTGGATCACCTGGGAGGTGACAGAAACAACCTTCAGCTTCCATGCAGACCAAGGCTCCAAGACCATGGGACCACAGCTGTTCTGGCTCCTTGGGGCAGCCTGGCCCTTCCTTGTATGTTATGGGGGTGACTGGTCACCTGGGTCCTCTGGCAAGGACCAGGAGCCCAAACTGCAAGATCTGGGGAGGGGGAGGGGGAGGGGGATGGATTCCGGACAGTGGTGTTGTCCTTGTTGTGGGGGAAAGGGGGAGGAGGGCTAGACCCCTGGGTGCCTAAAAGTGTAGAGCTGCAGATCCAGGCAAGTGGGTTGTTTTGTGGGGAGGCAAGAATTGGTGAATGGGGGCCCTTGGTACTTGATAGGAAGGCGGCTGGGGATCTCAGTGCCTCAGTCCTTCAGAAAGAGTGGGGAGGGGGAGGAACGCAGGAGCAGGAGCTTGGATCCCTGGAGAGCAGTCCTCTGCAGGACACAGGCTGGGGGATGCTGCCCCTGATTCACATGAGGTGCAATGGGGGAGGGTCACAGCCAAGCCCCAGATTGTCACCTAGTGGAAAGTGCCCAGGGTTTGGATTCAGAGGGACAGGCTTTGAACCTTGGCTTGGCCACTCATTCCTTGTGTGAGCCCAGCCAAGAGCCTCCATTCCTCATTTGTGAAATGGGAATAATAGTGCTCCAAACGCACAGGGTTGGTGTGAGAAAATCATTTGGTCCATGTTAGTGCCATCCAGAAATGGAAGTGGCTGGTATTTCCCACAGAGCCACCTCCTCCTGGCTAATGCCAGGATTTTCCTCAGGAGGACTCCCAGGGAGTCAGCCTGGAGTGGGATATAAGGGGTGGAGGAACTGGATCGCCAAAAAGAAAGCAACGCTGGTGCTGACCCAGACCCTTCCCCCCTCCAGGTACTGGGGCCTTGACTTGTTACAAGGGAGTAAGTTTAAGCATGGGACAAAACCTGAGGAACGAACCTGAAGACCTAACAACTGAAAACACCATCACCTGTAAAGCCAGAGAGGTGTGTCAGGAGACCGTGCTGTTCACAGAGTCAGGTGAGGGGCTCCCAGCTCCAACCCCTTCATAGACTGTAGAGACCCAGGCATGCCAAACTCCCTGAGTCCCAGTTCCTCAGGGACCCATAGATCTTACTCCCCAGCCCCTAACCCCATAAGGGACCCAGTCCTGACCTCTATCCTCCAACCTCTCAGGGATTCAGGAGTCCCCAATCCCCAGTCCTCCTACTCCTCAGGGACCCACACATTCTGAGCCCCAAGTCCTCACCCTTCCAGGGATGCAAGGAATCCTGAACCCCAGCTGTCTGCCCCTCTCCCCCTCCAGGGACCAGTGGCATCATCCTGAGCAGTAAGGGGTGCATAGCAGATGGGAGCACTTCCTCTGGCCCCACCACGCTCGCCTCTCCAGGGGTCACCATCATCTCCTACACCCGGGTCTGCTCCTCTGACCTGTGTAATGACCTCAGCAGCACAGCTTCCATCCTGAGTCCGGCTTCTCCAGGTAAGCTGGGGCCTGAGGGAGTGGGGGCCATTGACAGAAGAGAGACCCCAGAAACCCTGCCTTTGGTCCTGTGTAAATTTGGGCCAGTCCTGGCCCCTTGCCAGGCCTTGTTTGCACCATATACGAAATGACAGTGTTTACCTGGATGATTTCTAAAATCTTTTCTAGCTCATACATTCCACATTACCCTCCTAGCTCTTACATCCCCCGTTCTAAAGCCCCTCCCACCTCTGTCTTCCCTGTCCTACAGCATTTTAAATGCTTCCCATTCATTCTACAGCATTACTGAATCCTCACAACCACAAGCCAAAAAGCAAAGATTTTTATTCCCATCTTAGAACTGTTGCTCTGAGAAGGAGTCACACAGATTAGTGGAGAACACAGCCAAGATGAGGAAGTAGATTCTGGGCTCTTTCCATGACAATCACCAGGAAGATGAGGGGACCCAGCGAGTAACAGAGAGAGACAGAGACAGAGGGAGCAGAGGGGAAACCGTGGGCACCCCTGATCCCCCCAACAAGCCCCTGACCCTCTTCCTCCCCACATAGCTGCCCCGGCCCCTGGTGGTTTCCGGTGTCCAACGTGTGTGGCCTTGGGATCCTCTTGTTCAAACCCCATGCTTTCCGTTTGCCCTGAGGGCACCTCCAGCTGTTACCAGGGACTGTTGAGCCTCAGTGGAGGTGAGAGCCATACCTAGCTCCTTCTGGAGCTGGGGCTGGGGGATTAGAACACCTTGGACCCTGAAAAAGCAGGGGTCAGGGGATCAGGAAGGCTGGGAGATCTAGGATATAAACTGTCAAATCTGGAAGCCTGATTCCTTGGGGGGGTGTAGTAATTGGGGCATCTGGACTCCTGATTCCCTGGGGGGTGGGTGGTAACTGGGGGATTCTGGACTCCTGGGTCCCTGGGGGGCGGGTGGTAACTGGGGCATCTGGACTGGGGGTGGTACCTGGGGGTTCTGGATGCCTGGGTCCCCAGGTCTACAGTGAGAGCTCTTTTTGTGTTTCTCTGGGAACAGGAGGGATTTCAATGAACTTGGGCATTCAAGGCTGTGCCCCCAAAGCTGTCACAGGCTGCAGTCTGCTTGGGAAAACTCAGGCTTTTGGGCCCATTGATGTGACGGAGGTCTGCTGAGGATGAGGGTGATCTGAGGACCAGAGCTCCCCTAACAAGGTTTCTGCTACCACAGCACAAGCCTGGGGAGTGGGAGCTGGATTGCTCCTGGCCCTGTGAGGGTGCATCCCCCCACTCTGAGGGCCTCTTCTGTGACCCCTTAAGATCTTGACCCATTTTGCTATGAGAATGACCTTAAACACAAATGGCTCCTAACTCCCAATTATCTTCCCCCCACCCATACCCTTGTACCTTGATTCTGGAAGGGGGTTGGCAGGAAGCATGTGGAAATATTCACTGAGACTCCAAAATACAATCCACTCTACCCAAATGGGACCTCAGTCTGTTCATGGTGTGATGGGGGAGGAGAAACCAAAGACCATCCCCCTCCCTCGCCTTCTCTCCCCCACTTCCTGCCCTTGCTTTTGTCCTAGTTCAACTCAAGACAGACCAGTGACCTCTGCACCCCCTCTCCTCATACAATGGCCCCAGCTTAGTGGACAGAGAGCTGAGAGATCTGGGGACAAGCTGACTCTGACCCATCTGGGACAAATGACTTCATCTTGGCCCCTAATCAGCATTAGCCATTTAATCTGAACCCCGCATGTGTTCAGATGAGGAAACTGAGGCCCAGGAAAGTCAGGTGATGCCCCAAGGTCCCACTGGTACTCTGCATTTGAAGTGGGATTTAAGCATAGCTCCTTTGGCCCAAGAGTCTGGAATTTTTCCCCTGCACAGAAAATTTCCTCATGGGGACTTCCTCATCCAGATTACATCACAGTTTAAAAAGGAAAGAATGACCCAATGAGCGACTGTCCCCTTGCTCTAGAGAACACCCACCTGCCAGAACCGGGCTTATCCAGGACCTCTTCCCTGCCTTCAATGGTCTCATCCTCACGGTGCCCGCCCATCTCCCCTGAATGGTTTCATCCTTCCAGTAACCCCTCCCTTCTCCTCAGTGGTCTCATCCTCACCTGCCCCCTATATCTCCTCAGTGGTCTCATCCTCACCTGCCCCCCATCTCTCTTCAGTGGTCTGATCCTCACAGTGACACTCCCCTCTCCTCAGTGGTCTCATCCTGACAGTGCCCCCATCTCCCTTTAATGGTCTCATCCTCATAGTAACTCCTCCCCTTTCCTCACCACGCCCCCTGCCTTTCCTCATTGTTCTCATCCTTACAGTACCCCCCCCACTTGCAGCAGGTAGAAAAGATACATGCAGACAGCTTCGCTACACGACGTCAAACTATTCAATAAAAATTCATTTAACACCTGCCTCAGGCACGTCACTGTGCCAGGTGCTGGGGATACAAAGGAAAACAATTCCATCCCCGCCCTCAGGGAGCTTCCACTCTACTGGGGAGAATGCAGCATGTCCCTCCCTCTATTAGTGCTTCTTGGAGCAGATGGCCCTAGCTGACTTGGGTGAAGATCGGTATTGTGAGAAGCAGAGGCGGAGAAAGAGCATTCTAAGTACGAGGCATTTTAGATGACCGAGGAGAGATACGAAATGTCAAGTTCAGGGTCAGGGCATATGATTTCACTGGCATGGGAAGTCCCAGGGGAAGGAGCTCCCCACAGCGCTGCAGGTCTTCTCTGCCAACGTGTAATCTGAGCAAGCGCTTCCTAAAGCTCCAAGCGCTAAAATGTCTTGTGCCAGATCACGCAGCTGGGATGTGTCGCAGGTCTTCCGGGCCTCAAAGCCAGCTCCCTGCCCTCTGCTCCAAGATCAGGCACATACAGTCCCTGGGAACATTGGGAATGGAGATGTCTCTAAATTCATCTCACTTGCCAATGCCAACGAATCTCACTTCTCTTTTGAGCTACACCAGTTCTGTCTTGCTCATAGAGCCCAGCAGCTTCTTTGATGCAGGCAAGCCATGTTGGGTGGTCCAAGTCTCACAAGGGATACTAAAATTCTTCAGAGAGACCTTAAGTTTGCGCTTGTATAGCTTGAAAACACACTCTTATCTTGAACCTTTTTCTTTTTAAAATGATTTATTTATGGAGCGGCTAGGTGGCACAGTGGATAGAGCACTGGCCTTGAAGTCAGGAGGACCTGAGTTTAAACCCGGCCTCAGACACTTGACACTTACTAGCTTTGTGACCCTGGACAAGTCACTTAACCCCATTGCCTAGCTAAAAATAATTATTTATTTTTTCATTTTTAGTTTTCAACATTCACTTCCATAAGATTTTGAGTTCCAAGTTTTCTCCCCACGTCTCCCCTTCCCCCTACCCCAAGACAGCATAAAATTTGATACAGGCTCTACATATACAGTCATATTAAACCTATTTTCACATTAGTCATATGAATGGAGAACCGATGGAGAAAGCATGAGAAAGAAGAAACAAAAAAGAAAAGAAAAGAAAAAAGAGAGAGTGAAAATAGTATGCTTCAGTCTGCATTCAGACTCCATAGTTCTTTTTTCTGGATGTGCACAGCATTTTCTATCATGAGTCTTTTGGAGTTGTCCTAGATCCTTGCATTGCTGAGAAGAGCTAAGTGTATCAAAGTTGGTAATTGCACAATATGCCTGTTACTGTGTACAGTGTTCTCTTGTTGAATATTTTTCTTTCCCTCCATCTTCTGGCCTTCCCTTTGCCCTGGTTACCTCTTGATAACATGGAATCTCTGATCATACTTTGTGGGGAGCCGTAGGACCTTGAGGACCACAGGCTGTTCATGAGACTTCACTGATGGGCGAAGGCCCCTCTCGGGTGTTAGTACATGTGCAGAATATCCTGGCTCGGTTCTCCATCCACGGACCTTGCATTCCCCAATCAGCAGATCTCTGATAGTAGGCAAGCTCAAACTATAACACAATGTTGCTAGCTCAAGCACAGTCAGCTCTAGCACAAAGAGACATCCAGTATTGCTAAACTTATGTATCAAGTATTGCTAGTTCAAGTATTGGGAACCTTCTGGGAACGAAAAGTACATGGTGTTTTACGGGAACAGCACGGGAGAAGGACACAGTCAGGACAATGTTGCAAAGAAATGTACTTGTGGATACTTTGATTGTTATTCGCATGGGAAAGATGTTCGGTGTTGCCTATTGGTGAAGATATGTAAACCTTGTTGCTTTATTCACTGTTACATTGGGGTATGTTCCCATGAGTAAAAGATATAAAACGCTGAAGGCAGGACCAGGGGGGAGTAGTTGTAGTAGTAGTAGCAGTAGCGAGTAGAGTAGTTGCTGAGTTGCTTTCCTGCTTGAGAGAATGGCTGAATAAACCTTTTGAAACTACACCTCTCTGTTGACTCCACTCCTTCGTTTTCCGGGACGCCCAAAGACTGCAGGTGCAGGTGAGTATGACCCAGGCAGCCCTCCTGAAGTAACGAGGACCGTTACAAGTGCCGCCCAAAGTGGGGCCTGATTCATCTGGGACCTTTGCTGGGACCCCAGCAAGGAAGAGGAGTGAGAGCCCTTAGTGCTCAGGAGGAACCTGAGGAGGAGTGCCCTTAGTGCTAGGGAGCCTAAGGAGGAGAGCCCTAGGGAAGATTACCCTTAGTGCTAGAAATAGCCTAAGGAAGCCCTTCATGCTCGAAGGAGCCTAGGGAAGATTACCCTTAGTGCTAGAAATAGCCTAAGGAAGCCCTCAGTGCTCAGAAGGAGCCTAGGGAAGATTACCCTTAGTGCTAGAAATAGCCTAAGGAAGCCCTTCATGCTCGGAAGGAGCCTAGGGAAGATTACCCTTAGTGCTAGAAATAGCCTAAGGAAGCCCTTCGTGCTCGGAAGGAGCCTAGGGAAGATTACCCTTAGTGCTAGAAATAGCCTAAGGAAGCCCTTCGTGCTCGGAAGGAATTTAGGGAGGATTACCCTTAGCACTAGAAATAGCCTAGGAAGGATTACCCTTAGTGCTAGAAATAGCCTAAGGAAGCCCTTAGGCTAGGGGGGGCTTAAGGAAGAATGGGACAGTCTCTAAGTGTAGTAAAGGTCCCAGAAAGAGAGGTGTTGGGTAAAGAGGTTTATAAGGTAGTTCGGCATGCTGGTTGGGAGATCAATTTTAAAAACTGCTAAGGCTTTAGTAGATACTATACTGAAGTGCTGCCCCTGGATTCAATATAACGGGTTGGATTTATGTAAGTGGGAAGTGGTAGGCAGCCAAATGGCCTCTTACGACAAAGATAATCTTGGGGAAATTCCGGAGAGGCACCAAGCTATTTATACACTTATAAAGGCCTCTATAAAGGGGGTGCCGCGGCACCCCTTAAAATGTGAGGTAGGGTGTCAGGCTGGGGAAGAACTTGACAATGCAGACTCGGCACAAAGAATGTGGTGTGCCAATGTGGCAATGCAAGAGAGAAAAACAGGAACCAGGGGAGGGGAACCTCCTGAGGCAGAGCCAGGTGGCCAGGATGAGGCTTAGAGGAGGCAAGGTTTCAGTTCCTCTTGGGAAACATCCCAGTGGGCCGGAGGAGAGTCCCCTCCTCACTGTGTATCAGTAAGGCCCTCGCCCTCGGCCCCTCCTTTCAGTAAGGAGAATGCTGACCCTATCGCCCTGCTAACTGAAGGTCTGAGGAGTGTACAGATCAGCGAAAGAGAAGGAGCAGAAAAGGGAGGGCCTAGCACCCAATCAGCCTTTCAGCTCATGTTGCAAGAGGCCCGAGAGGCAGGAGTTTCAGAGGTAGGAGAATGGGAGTCCGCCTTTCCTGTTATAGAAGAGAATGATGGAACCCCAAGGTGGAAACCATTAGATTGGAAGCAGTTTAAGGAGTTGAAGCAAGCAGCTGCCACGTATGGGATTCAGTCACCTTATGTGAATAGTATTATTTCCTTAGTGTAGGGGATTTCTGATAAGTTTCTAGCTTTTGGATTCTCCCTGTCATTTTGTTCTATGGTTGTCTGGGTCTGTGTGAATGAGGGTCTGTGATTAACGTCTGTCATTTGTTTTGATCTTTTATTGCCAGGCAGCCAAGGACTGCAACTGGATTCTGAAATGCTGCTAGTGACTTTCTCCCCTTCCCCCCTCCCTAATACCAGCTGCATTCCCGGGAGCGGGTGGATGGGGGAGAGAATGGGAGAAAAAACTGCTTCATTATTTAGGTTAAATGACTGGTAAAAAGCAAGTTGAGAAGGATCCTTGAAGTGTCAGGTCAGAATTAGAAAGATGTTAGAAATGTGCAGTTTTAAAGGAACTTTAATCAAAGTCCATCAGAGAGATATTTAGGTAGAAGAAAGGCAAGAAAGTTTAAGCATGTAGGAAAAAGAGGAGTATGTGAGAAAGCTACAGAAAGATATAATTTGTTTGCATGGACAGTGTGAACAGAGGGTTTGGGGGTAAAAGATTGGGAAACTATTGGAGAATAGAGTGGAGTAAAAAATTCTCTTTCATTTTTGCATTCCAAGGCTCGGGCCAAAGCTTTGGATGTAAGAGTAAAAGATTATCAAACATAAGTTGTTGAAAGATGTTCTCTTCCTTTCTCCCACATTCCAACCCTGGCCAGGTTGGAGTGGGGGCGAAAGAACGAGAAGAAAAAGGAGGGTCCTCCAGGATGTTTCAAGTTTTACAAATCTAGTCTCCTTACAAATTGGTACACTTTTATGTGTTATATCACGCAATTTTTAATAATTTAGATGTTATTAAAATGTGAACTAAAAGGAACTGCAAGGTAGTGAGATAACTGTAAATCCAGCTAAATTATTTTATCAAGTCCGGTTAATCTTGTTCCATGATGTTTTATAACTGTCATTTAGAAAATCAGGTATTTCCATCTTTACCTATGATTGAAGAACAACTTATAGCTAAAACAATTTAACTATCACTCATGAAAATTACCAAATTGTTAACTAAGTTATTTGCAGTTACTGTTTTAAGTTAAAACCTAGAATTCTTAATTACTTCTCAGTGAAAAGGAGGGGCACAAGGCAATTCCCTTAACTTTGTAAGCTTGCCAAAAGCTCATACCAGCTGTGTGCCAAGGTCATCTGCTCTAAGAAGAGAATTTGTTTATGTTATTGAGTTCCTAAACAATTAAGTGAGCTTGCTAAAAAGTTGCCACTTTATAAAGTGATTCCTAATAACGACTTTTAAACAAGACGAGTTTAAATTCAAGAAAAAATTGATGCTAAGTACAATACAAAATACAAAACGAAATCTAATGAACTTGTTTGGGTTCCTTAAAATTCACCTGTTTTTCTTATTGCAAAGAAGTCAGGAAAATTAACGATGCTTTATGACTTCCTAGCCTTTGATAGTTATTGATTTAAAAGATTCCTTTTTTACTATTCCATGACAAAAAGCTACAAATGATGCATTACATGGATGACATTTTATGTGCTCACCCTAATCCTGAAGTGTTAGAAGAAATTTTACAAAAAACGCAAGAATTGTTGCAAAGTCATGGGCTTCAAATAGCTCCAGAAAAAGGTTCAAAAGTATCCACCATTTCAATATTTAGGCCATCAAATACTTCTAGAGAAAATAATTTTACATCCACCAACAACAGACCTACAAAAATTGAGAACACTTAATGATTTTCAGACACTTATAGGAGATATACAGTGCCTCTGATCACCGACTGGCATTCCAAATTACAAATTGATACCATTGTGTGATTGCCCTAGGGGTGATCCCCAATTAGATTCACCCCAGATACTGACCCCTGAGGCAAAGCTAACATTGTTGTATATTCAGGAACAAATAATTGGAGCACACACAAACAGGACTGATATACATGGAAGCGTGAAAGCCTCTATATTTAACACCCCGAATTCTCCAACAGCAATAATACATCTAAAACAAAAGCTTTTAGAATGGGTATATTTACCATCTCAGCCAAACAACACTTTAAGTAATTATACTGTCCTGATAGGGGACTTACTACATAAAACTGATAACAAATGTTTAACATTATGTGGCACACATCCGGAAGTCATATACCTTCCATTTTCTCAACAAATAATTGAAATGGCAATACAAACAATGCCTAACTGGCGAGTGAATATCAGTTTGAAACTTGTGTATGGAAAACCCTTAAATATTATGCAATTTTTGAGAATTGGCCTTGGCTACAACCCACACATACATCAGGTGACCCCGTACACGGGATTAATGTCTTTACTAATGCCACCAAGATGAATAAGGCATCTCTCTGGTGCCCTAAAAGAAAGGAATTACATGTGATCGAAACACATTTTACCTCCACACAACAAAATGAATTATATGCTGTCTATTGTGCATTTAACACATATAAGGAGCCCATGCATATAATAACAGACAGTAAATATGTGGAAGGAGTAATGAAGACCACTGGTCTTTCCTATAGTCCTCATGGTCAGGCCATTGTGGAAAGTGCCAATCATACCTTAAAGGAGGTGTTCCACAAACAAAAAAGGGGGAGTTAAGGGATCCCCTTGGCATCAATTAAATATTGCACTCTACACTGCACTCTGCACTCTCCAGCAATGAAATATCTGGCAGGAAACGACAACGGTACTAGTGACACCACTAAATCAAAGAGATTCCTTTTTCCTAAACACAATATGAAAGTCATGTGGAGAGAGATTGATGGTGTCTGGCAGGGCCCAGAGCAAATGCTAACCTGGGGGCAAGGGTTTGTTCTTATTTCCACAGGTGATGGAGAACTTTGGGTCAGAACGAAGGATGTCTGCATCATCCATTCAGAAGGGACAAGGCAAGCAGAAGAGAAAACACAGGCTGGCCAGGAATTGAAGGAGTCAAAAGAATAAGAAGAAGGCACTACACGAGCTTGTAACCATGCTGTGACTCTTGTTATCATTGTCGGCGGTGGTACAGAACACAGCAGCAGAGACAGGAAATACAAGATGGACTTTTGTGACAAAATCACCATGGCTAAGACTGGCTACATGGGGAGAGATGATACCTGAGGTTATTCTACAAGGGAATGCATCTGCAGGATGGGGGAAGGAATTTAACTTTACACCTCAAAAGAATGGTATCATACTAGGGCTGGTCATATTTTTGGTATTATAGAACACAAAAGTGAATTAGTTTTAAGAAGACAAAAAAGGTGTATTTCTTGTGTTGTTTTGGGTATTGTTTCATTAATAGCTTTGATTTCTTCTACTGTCTCTATAGCACTGTCAATTTCCACTGTTCAAAATGAAATTGTTCAAGATAAATTTTTGAATGAACTTGCAAAAAAATATATCTATAGGCTTTGCTACACAAAAATGTATTGATACTGAATTTTACCACATACTTGAGGGAATGAAGGAAACCATTATTGAAACAGGTGATGAATTGGATATTTTAGAATATGGAACACATTTACAATGTGATTATAGGTTTCAATTTATGTGTCTTACCAATGTTATATATAATTCATCTAGATGGGACTGGATGAGGATACGTAGACATTTGAATGGATTGTTTGAAAATTCTACATTGTCATTGGACATAGATGAGTTATACCATATTGCTCAAGAAATTTCACATGCAGCCGACAGGGCTCTAATGCCTGACAAAACAGCACATTCTTGGCGCGTTGGTGCCAGGATAAAGTCCTTTTAGACTTTGTTCTCAGTACCAATATGTCGGCTCACATTCAAGCCTTGAAACAAGTGATTGAACTGTCTCGCAACATCACCACCAAACAGACTCAGATTGATCCAGTGCACATACTTACTGACTGGATTGAAGGACAACATTCCGTTGTTCCCACGATAATTGCACATGTTGTTTATTTAGTGTTATTTGCTGTATTGTTCATCATTCTGTTGCTGTGCTTGCTGTCTTTTATCATTCGGCTTGTGAGGAACTCCATTGGGACTTTAAAGGCAGAAATGTTGCAGGCTAGACCGCTAGCTACTTTTCAGAGGAGGGCTTAGGCCTCTTTAAACAAAAAGGGGGAATTGTGGGGAGCCGTAGGACCTTGAGGACCACAGGCTGTTCATGAGACTTCACTGATGGGCGAAGGCCCCTCTCGGGTGTTAGTACATGTGCAGAATATCCTGGCTCGGTTCTCCATCCATGGACCTTGCATTCCCCAATCAGCAGAACTCTGATAGTAGGCAAGCTCAAACTATAACACAATGTTGCTAGCTCAAGCACAGTCAGCTCTAGCACAAAGAGATATCCAGTATTGCTAAACTTATGTATCAAGTATTGCTAGTTCAAGTATCAGTATTGGGAACCTTCTGGGAACGAAAAGTACATGGTGTTTTATGGGAACAGCACGGGAGAAGGACACAGTCAGGATAATGTTGCAAAGAAATGTACTTGTGGATACTTTGATTGTTATTCGCATGGGAAAGATGTTTGGTGTTGCCTATTGGTAAAGATATGTAAACCTTGTTGCTTTATTCACTGTTACATTGGAGTATGTTCCCTTGAGTAAAAGATATAAAACGCTGAAGGCAGGACCAGGGAAATAGTAGTAGTAGTAGTAGTAGTAGTAGTAGTAGTAGTAGTAGTAGTAGAGAGTAGGGTAGCTGCATAGTTGCTTACCCGCTTGAGATTCTCTCAAGCTGAATAAACTTTTTGAAACTACACCTCTCTGTTGACTCCACTCCTTCGTTTTCCGGGGACGCCCGAAGACTGCAGGTGCAGGTGAGTATGACTCAGGCAGCCCTCCTGAAGTAACGAGGACTTTGAGAGTGTCTTTGTATCGCTTAACAAAGACGCTCTCATCCTGAACCTTTTTCTTTCCCTCCATCTTCTGGCATTCACTTTGCCCTGCCTCCCTCTTGATAATATGGAATCTCTGATCATACTTCCCAGGACTGTTTGCACCTTTACTCATTAGTTGTGTCAGGGAAGCAGGGATACTCCTCCATCCTTAATGGCACTTCCAGGCTCTCCCTCTACCACCAGCAACCTCTCCTGCTCCAACATTCATTCAAACCAAATAAATCACCTACTCAGGATCCTGGTAACTATTATTTGCCAACCCCAGAGACATTCTCTTTCCTTGCTCCATGTCTGCAGGCGCTGACTCACAATCTTTGCCTCCAGCCTAACTCCTTCCCTTAGCCTAAGAACTTTTACATATTACATCAAATACCCTCACTTTCTAGTTCCTCAATTTACTCTGCACCCATGGCTTCCTTCTCTATTCCACCTCAGTCTCACTCAGATCTTCCCATCAACCACAAGTGATCTGCATTCATGTTCATCAATTCCAAAATTCCTTTATCTAATTTTATCCTTCCATCTTTTCCACTACTTTACAGTCCCTCACCCTATTCTTCATTCTTGATGTGACCTCCAATCCCTCCACCCCTCCTTCCTCTCCCAAGATATTCCCCTGAGTACTGACTGCACCCTCCTTCCTTCTCATGACCCCTTGGTGAACCAGTTCAACTCTATACCATTACTTAACCTTGAATCCCTTGTCCACTTGCCCTACTGCCCTTCCAAGCCCCATCCTTGGATGACTCCCACCGACTGCTCCCTTCTCACCTATTTCTGTGGTACTGAGCTGGAGAAAATCAGGAAACTGCTGCCTGGGTCAACTACAAATTCATGCCTCATTATCTGAATGGGCCATAACTAGGCAAGGCAAATCTTTTTGCCCCTCACTTATCAATTCACTATTCTACTCACCATAATGGCTATCTCAAACTTTCATCCTTCCTCAAACCTCCCATGTCAACCCTTCCCTACCATCCTCTCAGCTGTAAACCTTGCTTCAGACTTCACTCAACAATTGAGGCCATTAGCTGAGGACTCTCTTCATCTCATAATGCTCAGTTACTTTCCCCCACTACCTCCTCCTTCACTTATGTCTCAGAAAGAGGCAGCCCTTCTCCTGGCCAAGGTAAACCCTTCAAAATGCACAAGCAATCCCATTCCAGTCCTTCCTCTCTAGCAGACTGCTCCTTCGATCATCTCTACTCCCTCACTCATCTTCAGCCTCTCCCTGCCCATTAGTTGCTTCTTCTTCCTGCAAACATGACCACATCTCTCCCACCTTAAAAAAAAAACCTCTCATTTGATCCATTCATTCCCCTGAGGTATCAACCCATGCCTATCTTTCCTTTTGTGGTTACACTCCTCCAGGAGGCTGCCTCCCATTTATACCCCCACATCTCCTCCTCTCTCTTCCTTCTCACCTCTCTCCCTTCTAGCTTTTGACCTCATCATTGAAATGAAACTGCTCTCTCCAGTTACTAATCATCTCTTTTTATTAAATAATATTTCATTTCCCTCCAATTATTTGTAAAGACAATTTTAACAATCTTTTACAAAATTTTTTGAGTTCCAAATTTTATCCCTCCCTCCCTCACATCCCCTGTCCCTGAAACAATAAGCAATTTCATATCGGTTATACATGTGCTGTCATGCGAAACATATTTCCATATTAGTCAAGTGGTGAAAAAAAAACAGACCCAAAGAAAAGAAAAAATATACAAAAAAGTGAAAAATAGCATGCTTCCATCTGCATTCAGACTCCATCCAATGGTCTCTCAACTGCCTTTCTTTTTGCTCATATTTGTATCCCCATTGCTTAGCACAGTGCCTGATTAGTGTGTAATAAGCACTTAATAAATGCTTCCTGGTGACTTAACTGCCTCTGCTCTCTCCCCATCCGGTTGTCAAAGTGATCTTCCTAAAGCCCAAGGCAAACCTCATTACTTCCCTACTTAATACACTCCAGTGGCTTTTTATCACCTCCAGAATCAAATATAAAATCGTCTGTTGGACACTTAGATCCCTTCAAAATCGTGCTCCTTCCTATCTTTCCAGTCTTCTTACACTTTATTCCTTCCCACATGCTCTGTGATTCAGCAATACCAGCCTCCCTCCTGTCCCTCAAACAAGACACTCCATCTCCCAACTTAGTGCTCCTTTCACTGGCTGTTCCCCATGCCCATAACTCCCCTTCCTCACCTCTGCCTCCTGGGTTCTCTAGCTTCCTTTGAGACTCAGCTCAAATCTCATCTATTCCCAAAAGACTTTACTATTCTTTCCCCCTACACAGCCCACACACCCCTACCCCCAAGCCTGCCAGGTGAGGACCTTGGGAAATTCAGAAAGTTGGAGGATGTGGACTTCTCTCTGGAGTCCTAGAAGCATCCCTGAGACACAAGCAGCTGGTGGCACTGTCTGCAATGAGAGCCTTTCCTCTGAAGAAAGGCAGCTTCATTTCTCTGTAAGGAAACCAGCAAAAACTACAGCTTATTTCAAGAGAATTTCATGGGGGGCAGCTAGGTGGCGCAATAGATAGAGCTCTAGCCTTGGAGTCAGGAGTACCTGAGTTCAAATTTGACTTCACACACATAACACTTACTAGCTGTGTGACCCTGGGCAAGTCAATTAACCCCATTGCCTAGCCAAAAAGCAAGAGAGAGAGAGAGAGAGAGAGAGAGAGAGAGAGAGAGAGAGAGAGAGAGAGAGAGAGAGAGAGAGAGAGAGAGAGAGAAAGAAAGAAAGAGAGAGAATTTCATGGGTATCCCATGAAGGGCAGAAAAGGACTTCCAGCAATCAGGACTAGTAAGTTATGCCTTGACCACATGTGCTCTTTAAGCCTGGCTACAAAAGCCCACAACCAGCTGAATCAATGTGTCTTTCTTGATGACAACGAAGACAAGGATTGCTGTGAGCCTTCGGGTTGGGAGGAAGCGGGCTACTCTGCCATCTACATGGTCAGTGAATACATAGCATGTCTTTTTTTTTTTCTTTTTTTGAGTCTCTTGACATTTATTCTCTCCTGTTTATAAGAGAAATTTTTTTTTAATTTTTTAATTAAAAGAGAGAGGGGGTTATGGCAAGTTTACACCTTCAGTCTCAATTCCTTTCCACAAAATGCTGTTTATACAAAAGACCATTCACAAATAATGAATAGGAAATATCCAAACAAATGGCAGGCAGAAACTGGAGAAGTTATACAGATTCAAATATTTCAGAAAATACACTGAGTGAATAATTTCTGGTAGGAGTCAGATAACACAGCTCAAGACCAAAAGAGATAGTGAGAGACACTCTCATTTCATCCAAGGAAAAATTCTCGGAAGTCTTAGAGAGCCAAGCTTGAAATAAGGGACATGTTAATAAACTGGCTTCCCCTACATACCTGCAGTTTTCAAAATCTTTCTATTTTTCTGCGTGTGTCTGGAGTCAGTCTCCCATGGGACCTGGGACAGGATAAAGAGAAGACAGATACTCAGTATTGCTTCAGAGAGTCACAAAAACAGAGATCTCATCCATTTTAAACCCTACTCTCTCAACTCATTAGGGCCCTCTCTGATGCTTAGAAAACCTTCTGTTCACTTTTTTATTAACTCTGAAATTCATTCCCCTCAGGGACTGACCTCACCTTGTCCCCAGTCTCTCAGAAGATGCTCCTGTCTCCTACTTCCCTGAGAAGACCTAAGGTTCCCTCCTCTCCAGATCACATCTGAACAGCCAACTCCCGTTGTCTCCTCCAATTTTCTCCTCCTGCTCTCTTATTTCTGAAGAAAATTGAGTCCTTCTCCTGACCAAGTCAGATTTTTTTGCCTTAACCTTGATCCTATCTATCCCTTCCCACTTTCCCCATATTGTCCTAGAGAGCCAGAAGGGAACCCAAAGTTTACATGACCCAACCCCTCCCAGAGCAGGAATCCCCTGGAATCAATCTCCGACAGATGGTCATCTATCCCCAACTAAATGACTCTATTAAGTCATGTGTCAGGTGACATTATATACTGATTTCTGAGTTTTTCAAAGAACACCTATAGGTATTGCTTTAGTGGATATACATTTTTGAGAACTGGGGCCATCTCCAATCAGCCTGATCCATATCTTGCCACTTGACCCAGATGGCTCTGGAAGAGAAAGTGAGGCTGGTGACTTTGCACAGTTCTCCTTCACTTAAATCCAATTCACTTGCATGTCATGGCATCACCTCCCTGATGTCATGGTTCTCTTTGAGAAGAAGAGACAAACAACAACAATAATGATTTTTGAGAACTTGGATTACTATACAACAAAGAGGTTAAGTGGTTTGGCCAGAGTCACACATCTAGGGAGTGCCTGAGGCCAGATTTGATCTCATCTCCTTTCTAATAGATGTGTGATTTGGGGTGAGAGAAGTGATTATTAATAACTGATATCTTGGGGAGATTCAGAGCTCTTTCCTTCTTCCAAATTCCTCATTTTAAAAAGCTCAGTGTCTTGAAGAACATTACTGATAATGAGATGGAATTAACTCTCTTTTTAATCTTGGTCAGATCCCACTTTAACCTTATGAGGAATCTAAGGTGGGGAAGCTTGGGTGGACCCAGATCCTTTTCTCTAGATAGCCCAGGGCTGGAAATGGTCTAGTATAGAGATAATTTCTCTGTCCAAGGTGACAGTGTAATTCTTAGCCCTTCATTTTATTGCTGTCCAATCAGAGTCATTACAGCCCCTTATTGAACACCTGCTCTTCAAAGGGTATATAAACTGTGAGCCTGCTACCATGATTGTCTTTGGTCTAAGAGAGATGGCCAAATGACCATCCTTTTATTAATAATCTGCTGGCTTATTAATAAAATGATTAAGTTACCCAGAAACTATGTCTCTTG